CTTGATATTTTAGTTCAGTTTGACTCGACCTGAGTGTATTTAGTTTATGTTTTTTTTTTTGTTGCTGTTCTGATTAATCCCATTTCACCAGACTCTCTGGCCACATAATTTCTACCAGTATTACCTTATAAACGTTTATTTGTCACCCATATTTCAGTGCACCAAAGAGTCATCCCCTAACTGTCTCTGGATAAGCTGAGAATAAGTATTCTGAAATTTAGGAGTAAAATAATTCAGGTGTGTAGAAAATGTTGGAACTCTGCTCCTTTAGGATGTATGGTTAGAAGTGAAAGTGTAGTTTTACCAATCTTCATTTTGGGACCCAGTCTCCCAGCTGCCTGACTGGTTCAGCCTGCTGGGACAGCCAAGAGGCAGGTTGGGTTTGGGGATTTTCCTACACCCTTTAGAAGCACTCAAGAATGGGATTTGCGATTAAAGTCCTTTTTGGGATTAACTAAAATCTGGAAATTTATGAACCCTTTGCTCAGTTTGCCATTTCTACTGGACTTCCGTTCTACCGAGTCATTCGATTAAATGTATTTATATAGCGCCAAATCGCAACGAGTTGTCTTAAGGCACCTCGCAAAGTAAACATTCCAATGCAGTTCAGTTCCTTAAGCCAATCAGTAAAAAGTTTCCTATGTAACTTATATTAATTCTGGTCTTTGCTCTTGCTCTATCACATTCTTTCTTTTCCTAGATTCTTCTGGTAAGCGATTTCTAGCTTTCTTTGGATCTGCCATTGTTCAAGTCTCTAAAATGCAGGTCTACCACAGACACATATACGTAGGCCCAATCTCAACACTCGCACTTCCACACTTGCACTCTTCAATTGCGTGATCCCGACCAGGGGTGTGAGTTCGTAGGGTGTCTCGATTCTCAATTGAGGAAGTTGATCACGCCCCATTTGCCCCCTTAATCCACACTTCACCCAAGTCCGCAGCGATGCAGAATCGGGTGAAGGGTATTACCCACAATCCAGTACTGCGGGAGGAAAGGCTCAAGTTCCCTTTCTGAAAATATGTATTTTCTAATGAATGTTGTTAATTTTAGGACGATTAGTTGAGGTTCTGAAACTTTTAGACAAAGCAGCAATGGATAATTGTTTGGTTGTGTGTTTTAAAGTTGTGATACATTTTTAAAAAAAACTTTAGTAACAACGACTTGCATCCTGGCATGTGCTGCGGTCAATGACGCAATGTCTCAGTTCGGCTGTTATTTGCACCCTTGTGTACTACGCACTCGAAGACTTACTGCGCACTTTCTCCAAGTGTACTTTGCTGAAGACCACAGGGCACAGTGCAAGTATTGGGATTGAGCAGTAGACGCCCCGTGGACTAGTGCTGCTGTAGTGGCCAGCTGCCATTTTAGAGGGGTCTCCATTTGCCCCAGTGCATATTTGCCCCAGTGCATACATTTCTGTTAAGGAAGGTGCTACCCAACTAAAAAACATATTATATCAAGCTTTTCCATAAAATCAGACACAAGTTGCTCACTCTGCATTGACTTAAGACTTTTCTGCAGTCACTGCTTTGGAGAGTGAGACCCATCCAATATGGTGGCGACGCTGTTGCGCTATCCAGCACCCGATGGGTCATTTACGTATTCATGTCTATGGGGTCTACATCTACGTGATACTGTCGTAAAGCAACACGGACCTCAGGTGGCTTAAGAGGTAAAACCATTGGATTTATAAAGAATAGACCTTTTATCCTTTAAACCTGTTTAAACTCTTTGTGCTGAAAACAAAAATTTTCAGACCAAATAAATGAACCCACCTTGGTTTAGGAGCAATTATTCTTATGGTGAATGTTAGGATATAGTTGTGATTAACGTTTATTCAGAGAATGACTCAGATTTACAACAAAGCATGCTACAATTTAACCAATGGTTATTTAGGAAAACACTGCTGTTTTATTTGATCTGGATATATGGAGACAAATTTCATTTCCATGACATGTTGGATGTATTCTGCTCAATAAAACGGACCTAAAGATTGTGAAAGCTCTCTACTAAAACAAATTATCACCATTAGCAGTTCCTGTAGGTCTGGAAGAGATATACAAATGTTCTTTTCCATCAGAAAGCTGTGGTTTGAGCAGGAAGGGGAGGATTTATGAGGAGGTGTAGACTTCTGGCCTCTTGAACAGAGTGGTTAGTGTATGATTATGCTTCTGTTTAATAAATAACAAGTTTAGGTTTAGCTGAAAACAGAACAAGCAAGATGTTGATTTTTAAAATAATCAACCAGCTTAGAGACTGGATCATTTGGTATGGTAATCTGATGAAAATCAAAACCAGATGCAGGGGAAAAAATCTTTTACCAACGAAAAAAAAAGGAATCGAATTTGATCCAAATAAATTTCAACTCCTGAATTTGCTGCTGCAGGCAGTTGGCTGTAATAATTAGATTATTATTCTAAATTTAACTTTTCATGTTGATTTAAGCACTAATGTGAGATCTTTATTCAGTTTAATTCGAATGATTGAAAAAACAAGTCAGTGTTTCATAGGGATGTAAAAAAAAAATCTTGGTGCACTGAAATATTGCATTATTTTGACTTGTGATATTGAATCAAAATTTTAAAATGGTATAAATTATTTTTAAACGTGCAAGCATCTACTGTATTTTTCTTTTGTGTGGTGCAATTCAAACTCCCAACTGCTAGGTGGAAGCCGTTTTAAAGTTATAGTTGAAGTTAACGTCCCATTAGTTGTCACACACACTGTGTGTGCAAAATTTGTTCTCCGCATTTGACCCATCCCTTGGGGGAGCGGTGAGCTGCAGACACGGCCATGCTCGGGAACCATTTGGTGGTTTAACCCCCCCAATCCAACCCCTTAATGCTGAGTGTCAAGCAGGGAGGCATTGGGTCCCATTTTTCAAAGTCTTTGGTATGACATGACCAGGAATCGAACCCTGATCTCCCAGTCTCAGGGCGGACACTCTCCCACTAGGCCACCTTCATTCTGATGGAACATTGAGATCTCACGATAACACGCTGGGTAGCATCTGGAAAGCGATAACTAAGCGTTCTCTCTCATGCGCATTTGTTTTCAAAACATGGAGAGGGCGATTTTTTTCCTGAAATTCAGAAACATCCTCTGTCATACCTTTAACCGGTAACCAGTTCATCTTGCTGTAACAAGTTAACTGAATGAAGCTGTTTATTTAACTTAAAACTAACTGCCTTATGGGCTCTTTCAGTCAAACAAATGCACCAAACAGAAATTAATTAACTTCTGGAAATTTTTCTAGAAATAAGCTTTCAGTTTTGTCTTTTATTGAGGATTCAGGGGTTTAATTGTAATCATTTCCCAGCAGAAGAAAGTTTAAAGGTTCACTCTTGTATTATTTTCCTGTTTATCTGTTAAGTGGACAGGAACCCGAATGTGCCGAGCCTCTGGGTTTGGTTTTATTATGTCTTCTGTGTAATACCACACAGATGAATGATCTAGTTAGAAAGCAGATTGATGGAGGGTCTTAGGAGCAGCAGATGTCCTGCAGGCTGCACTGCCTCTAATATCAGATTAACAGAAACTCCAGGCTTCCCTGTGCTGGGTGGATAACAGCAACTTCAGCTTGTTTCACTTCACTGATCAGGATTAAGTTGATTTATCAGCCAATCAGAGGCTGTCTGAAAGCTCATTACGCCTGTAGGAGCATCAGGTTGGGTCCTAACTTACACGAAGGACATCTGAGAAAATCAAATGCAAACTTTTTCACTCTGACAGTTAAATGAGTAAATTAAGTTTCATGCTTTTTTATGATATCCAACAAGCCGACAGGTCTTTAATTTACAATACCGACATTGATTTAAGTGTGTGAGAGAAGGAGCTGAAGAGTGTGATGTATTATACCTGCATGGGTTGTAAATGTCCCTTTTAAAGAGTAAAAACTGATGCAAGTAATTTCCTATCTACATTTGACCCTAAATCATAATAATGGTAGGCTGATAATATTGGACATCTCTAATATTTAGTCATTGGTATTTGACTCTGTTTAGGATACAAACTGCTGCCTCCTCCTTTATTCTGGAGTTTTAATTTAAACTGAGCTGTAGCTCTAATTGAGTTTAATGTGAAGTAATTAATTTTAGGACTGATCTGTAAGTAATGTCTATCCATCATCTTTCATGGCAGGAGTGGGTTAAATGATGGTGTGTGATCTGTCCAAATATGAATGAATCTCAGCTCCCAACACCAAACTTCGGCTCCATTATCAGTAAAACCGACTGACTTCTAGTTTTTATCAGTTGTGGTGGCCATCTTTAATTGGAGTGACTCCAAAAGGCACTCGGCTGTAGACGTAGATCCAGATGTTCGTGTGGTTATTTCTAATTTTAGTCGTTGAGAAGATGGTTTGAAAATATTCGCACACTCTGTGAAACGCATACAAAGAAAATAAAATACAAATTTTCATAGACAGTCAGTTTCAAATCATCTGCCCATTTAAAAAAAAAAGAAGAAAAAAAAGAACATTCAATGAAAATTGTTGAAGACCACCATTTTAGACAAAGTGGTAATCTGGCTGCAGATTCCTAGTTTAATGGTATTTGAACACATCATGCAGCTCCTGTGCTGCTGACTGTTTATGCTGTCCTACATGTTCCATGGGTTTGTGCACGCACAAGTTTCTGTTAATCTGACTTTAGAGGCAGCCGTGTAAGGTGTAACCTGCAGCCTCCACAGGCTCCTGTGTGCAGGAGTAAAGCATCCATGGGGTGCTGCAGTAATCCCTCAGGATGTAATCTCATTATGGTTGAAGGAGCTGAGGTGGTGTGCTGTGGGTGATGGTTGGTCACCGTGGTGATAGATGGAGGAGGGGAGGACAGGTTGATGAGAAAACTGGACAACTGCTCGTTCTGTTTTTTTGTTGTTTTTTTTTATAATAGTTTAACGTTTATGATGGAGTTTGCTTTTCACTGCTTTTATGAATTTAAAAAAGACTGAGAAGCAGTAGGAGAGTTCTGATCCAGTGTGACTTCCTGTTGTTGCAGACGATGCATCAGAAGGTGGCGTTGTTAGTTCTCCTGGCGGCGGGCCTCCTCTGCCTCAGTCTGACGCCCGTCTCTCGAGCTGAAGATCTGGATCTCGATGTAGAGGGCGATGACATGGATGTAGAAGATGAGCTGGATTTGGGTTTGGCCGGAGCTGATGAGGAGGAAGAGGAAGATCTAGACGATGAAGGTCTGGGCGAAGCCCCACCTTCTCCTAAAACTCCTGCAGCACCAAAGGTGAGAATGAGCCGGTTGGAAAGTTTAGAACATGATTTGGAATTCCTGGAATATTTTCTGTAGGGTTTAAAACCATCACAGCTGCTGACTTTAGTCCGTGTTGAGGATGGATCGTGGTGTTTTACCACATTATGAGATTAATGGTTTGCTTAATGCAGAAAATCTGTTACCTTCCTGTTATATTAAATATCTCCTATATTTTTTACCTGCCTAATGTACATGGCTCTTCAGATTTCAGCCTTAGTTAGATTATTACAGGAAAGAGGATGTAAGAAACAGAACCTCTTAATTCAATCGTTAGAAGAACCGGTTCCACCTCTCCATGCTGGGTCTGCAACACTTTACCCTGCTGACTAAGACCCAAAATGTCAACCCAAACAAAACGCACCTTTTAGTTTTCTCATGTTGTTAATAATTTTAACTCTTGTTACCATGTATAATAAATTCAAATGAGAGTAAATGTTTTTATCGATATGCAAAAACAGGTGGCTGTGGTTTTTTCTGTTTAGGTGATCTACAAAGCTCCAGAGCCGAAGGGGGAACACTTCTTTGCCGAGTCTTTTGATCGGGGGACCCTAGATGGGTGAGCACATGCTGCTTAAACACACCTGAGAGTTGGAACTCTAAGCTTCGGAACGTCTGCGTTTAGCTGGACCGTTGTTTAAATAGCCGTCATGTTCTCATTATGGAAGCTCGGCTGCCTTTCAGCCGTGGTGGGAAAAGGGAAATCTGAATGTCCGGGTCAGAATAGAAAACCGTTTGTTGTGGCTTTTTTGTGTTTCAGTGAATGCAGCTTGATTTGAAGTTGGGTGGAGGTAAAGATGAGGCCGTTTTTAGTGTAGCTCTCTCTGATGGTGCTGTTTGGTTTCAGGTGGGTTCTGTCTCAGGCCAAGAAGGATGATGCTGATGAAGAGATCTCAAAGTATGATGGTGGGTGTTTATCTAACTTTATTAAATAAAAATAACATGTTTACCTTTTGTGGAACATTTATATCAAGTCGTGCTGTATTTTTATTGAACCAAAACAGCAGGCTGACATGTTTTCCACAGGCTGTTTTAATTCTCTGTTAACATATATATTAAAGTTCTGAACATGATGATGATGATTATGCTCTTAACAGGTAAATGGGCCGTGGAGGAGATGAAGGACAGTAAGCTGCCTGGTGATAAAGGTCTGGTCCTGAAGTCTCGAGCCAAACATCACGCCATCTCAGCCCTGCTGCTACGACCTTTTACCTTTGACACCAAACCACTCATCGTCCAGTAAGAGCAGCAACGCCTCGGGCACACACTTGAGCACTCAGACATAAAAATGTTTAATCTGTCAACTCTTCTCCAAACTAAGAAACTCAAGTGAAACATTTCCATCGTAGATAAAGTCCAGGCTCCTTCTGATCGTCTGTGTCTCCTCTAGATTCACGGCTATGGAGACTCAGCACATGAGTGTGTGTGTGTGCATGTGTGCACGTGCTCTGACATATACACGTGCACACTCTTGCACCTATGAAGTGTTTTATTATAAAAACTTCCCATCTTCCCCAGTTAAAGCTTCTCTCTCTGCTGTTAGATTCAAGCATGCACCTTTGCACGTACATATGTCATGCCACTGCTTAAAATCAATTCAGTTATTAGTTATTGAAACTGTTGTCTTCAAATAAGTCAGCAGTCCCCAGATTCCCTCATTGGCTTAGGGAATTGTCCAATAATCTGTGTTTGACCTGCCTGAGAACAACGATCTCAAATGTAAGGTCTGTAGTCGTGGAGAAAGGGTAGATGAGTCCTGCAGGTGCAGAAGTCCAACGGCTCCTATTTCATATGATATGGTGTCACAAAACGTATCTGAAAGCGGAATCTGTTCTTAAAGATGCTTTTTAAATGGCAACAAGTCTGAACACGTAGAGCTGTGAGGACACACTCGGTCTGAATGTCACTGTTTACACCTTTGTTATTAAATGGGAATATTTCCGTAAAGTAAAGAAATTCAGTTTTAACAGAAACATCGAGTCACGTAGATGAGCCTCAGATGTTTTTAAACCACGGTGGGAATAAAAGAGGCTGAACATGAAGGCAGAATAAAACAAACTGAAGTTTCTAATGTTTTCCTGTTTCCAGGTATGAAGTGAACTTCCAGTCTGGTATCGACTGTGGTGGCGCCTACGTCAAGCTGCTGACCGAGACTCCCGACCTCGACCTGGTCCGTTTCACTGTTTTGCTCTTAATTTAATCAAAACTAAAGATTTTTTTTTTATATACATATATTTGGTCGTGGGAAAAACCCAAACCAGCGTGTTACAGAGTTGAGTACATGGTTGGTTGTCTTCCACGACCCTTTACTTTAAAACATAATTAAAATAATAATAATAATGTGTGTTGTCTTTAGGACCAGTTTGTGGACAAAACTGCATACACCATCATGTTTGGACCAGACAAATGTGGAGAAGATTACAAACTTCACTTCATCTTCAGACACAAAAATCCCAAAACTGGGGAGTACGAAGAGAAGCATGCAAAGAAACCCGACGCTGACCTGCGGTCGTACTATACCGACAAGAAGACTCACCTATACACACTGGGTAGGACGGACGGACACACACACACACACACACACACACACACACACACACTCACACAAGCTGGTACACTTGAGGAGACTTGTCATTGACTTCCATTCATTTTTGTGGCTCAATTATGCGTAACCCATGCCTTAACCATAACCAATATTAGTTTATTCCAAACCTTAACTCCAAACTAAAAGTTTATTCACACCATACCTCAAAAACCAAGTTTTAGGGCATTTTCCTGTGTGTGGACCAGCCAAATGACCCCACAAGTTTCAAATGTCCCTACGTTGCATGAAAAACCTCATAAATTGTCCCCAGAAGGTAATAAAAACATGGTAACGCACACAGGATTGTGACGTATCTTGTTTCCTCCTAGTGTTGAACCCTGACAACAGCTTTGAGGTTCTGGTGGATCAGACTGTGGTGAACAGTGGAAACCTGCTGACAGACATGACCCCCCCTGTAAACCCACCTGCTGAGATTGAGGACCCAGATGACCACAAACCTGAGGACTGGGACGAGAGACCCAAAATCCAGGATCCAGATGCTGTCAAGCCTGACGACTGGTCAGTCTCTTCATTTACTCTGAAGACCGTCCACTTTGTCGGGCTCTGATGTTGACATCTTGTTGGTAACATGGAGTTAATCTCCAGGGCCCTCATTAATCAACCGTACTTGTGCACAGATCTGTGCGTCTTTTGTGTGTAGCAACTAATTTAGGCATTGTGTGGAATTCGTTTTGTACTTGTGCATGAAAATGTTCCTGAATATAAGAAAATCTCAGACCATGCGTAGGACAAGCATCAAGTGGTAGAACGGAGGAACCGCTATACCGAAGGTCTGTCGTCCACACATGTTCCCCATCCACAAATTATTTTATCCATTAAAAATTATTTTGGTGGAAAAACAGCTGTGTCACATAATTGGTGCCAAAACCCTCAAAAGACAGTTTTGACCGACAGACATTGCAACATGACTAGGGGACCCAGGGAATCCCCTCGAGTGCGGAGGATGTAGCATGACCAAATATGGTTATTTGAGGGCGTTTCTGAATGTGACCATGAATGGACACAAGCAGCTGGGTATGTACAGTTGGGATTTATCATCAGTCAATTGCGGAGGAACGTGCGTACGAGTGTCCCATTTATTTCATAAATCAGGATTTTGACCATACGAACATTCTAAATTTCATTCATAGGAAGTAATGTAGGAATATTTCTACGGACGTTTGATGCACGAGGGCCCTGGAAACTAGAGTTTCTGGTACGTTAAAGTCTCCTTTTAGACTTGGCATTTTCCCCTCTACTAGACCAGTTTACTCAGTCGTGTTCAATACAAACTTAACATGCTGATTTGATGGGTTTGTAGATTTCTTCTGTCTTTGATGAGGAAAAAAGTTTCCTAAATGATTCAGAGGTCATAAGAAAGTGACTTAAACAAACAAAACGCTTCATGGTAAAAGGACCAAATCTGAGGAACTGTTTGTCTGGAGCACATCTGTGGTGTCCAATCTTGGTCTTCCAGGGCCACCGTCCTGTTTTAAAGTTTCTCTGCTTCAACCCGATTTCAATCAGTGGAGATTATCAGGCTTCTGCAGAGCTTCAGGATCTCCTGAAAAGGTGTGTTGGAGCAGGAAAACTGCAAAAACATGATGGATAGGGGCCCTCTGGGACCAGGATTGGCCCCTGAACGTCTCACATCTGATAAAGGAAAATGAAAGTGATGAGGACTGGATCAGGATGTTAGTTTCTGTCCAGAATCTGCTGTTGATCAGAAGTTGTGTTCTCAGGGATGAAGACGCTCCTGCTCAGATTGCTGATGAAGACGCAGTGAAACCAGATGGCTGGCTGGATGATGAGCCTGAGTATGTTGGAGACCCCGACGCCATCAAACCTGACGACTGGTGAGTTTCCGTGACGATACAGGCTCACTGCTCTCATCCTGGGCTCTGCTCACGTCTCACTGTGTAACCTGGTTTCATCAGGGATGAGGACATGGACGGCGAATGGGAGGCCCCACAGGTTCCCAACCCAGCCTGTGAGAGCGCCCCTGGCTGCGGCCCCTGGAAACGACCAATGATCGACAACCCCAACTACAAGGGCAAGTGGAAGTCCCCGATGATCGACAACCCCAGCTACCAGGTGAGCTGGTCCCTCAGTTTGGACTCTGACTGAAGTAAAGACACCAGAATCTGTCTTCAGGCTCCTAACCCCACCTCTCCTGTTTTAGGGCATCTGGAAGCCGAGGAAAATCCCCAACCCAGCATTCTTCGAGGATCTGCACCCATTCAAGATGGCGCCGTTCAGCGCCCTGGGCCTGGAACTCTGGTCCATGACCTCCGACATTTTTTTTGATAACTTCTTCATCACCAACGACCGGAACGCCGCCGAGAACTGGGCCAACGATGGCTGGGGGCTGAAGAAGGCAGCTGAGGGTGCAGCTGAGGTGAATGACTCAACCTAAGACCCCATTTTTACTTCCTTTAGCTCTTCAAGATCTCAGGGACATGATGAACATCAAAACAATGTATTTAAATGATAAATGGTTCCAAACTGAACATGTTATTTCTAATTAAGATTTGTAAATTAATAATTAAGAACTAGTCAATAGAAAAAATAATAGGAGGTTTGAGTTGAAGTAAAATATTATAATACAGGAAAGCCATTGTCCTCATGAGGAGACAGCAGGAGTAGTTCTAGTGATTTTTATAGGGATTATCATGTGAGTTGGTGTTCATGGCTAGGTCATGTTTCTGATTAATTCTCTGAGGGGTGTTCTGCAGACAGATGTTTTTAATCTGTAGTTTGATCAGCTGATTAGTAGAGGTGTGAATCTTCTCTTGTCTTTCGATTACGATTATTGGGTCAACGATTCAATTCGATTCGATATCCCGATGCATCACTATTATTTCATATTAATTTGTTTTCATTGATAGATGGAAGATGTCAGATAATAGCTTTTTATTTATTTATGTTTTTATCAAAAACGTAATTGACACAACCTGCCATCCCTCAAAATCTCTCCATTCACAACAGGTTAGGACAAAACATTTTAAACATTTAAGAAGATTTAACAAAGTAAAACATCTGTTTCCTCGTTCAACACCACGCCTCAGGCTGAGAAAACACGCTTTGCAAAAACTCACAAAATCTGGAAAAAGTACTGAAAACCTACAGGACACATAATGTAATAATAAAATACATAATGGGTTCATATATGAGTGTTTAATGTCTCTGAGCAACTCTAGAGTCAAATATTTATGCTGCAGTTGAAGGGTGTCAGAAATAACACCACATGAAATGTTTGATTTAGTTTATTTTATTTGAACCCAGTGGTTCATTTCTGAAGTGTTGGAGAATGAATCAAGTTCTGTTTGATGCAGAAAATAATAAAACATAAAACAAATTCTACACTTCCAATAATATTTAAGATAATGTGTTTTATTCTTTCTGATAATAACACCAGCAGAAGGCTGTAGGCTGGATTAGGATTAAATTACCCAGCTGATGGATCTCCTTCACTAACCAGCTAACTACAAACCTTTCCACTAACCTGTCCTGTGGGACCCTCACCATGTAACCCTCATGTCCATGCTGTCTCTGAGGAGCAGATAGGAGACAAGATCTCCTGTAACCTAAAATGAACCAAAGCTTCTTCCCAGTTTTTTAAGTCGAATTTAACACCAGTTTATCATGAAACAAAAGAATAAAGCGGAACAAAAACTTCTATTTCTCTCTCCTTTTAACTTCCCCATGTCCCTAAATAAAAGACAGATGATTACGCTGCAGCCGCCGTCGTTGACCCTGCCCACTCCCCAAGACCGGATCTCCTGACATCACAACACTCAGTCTGACTGAGCGCTTCGAGCAGAAATAATAATGAAATTACGAAAATAATAATGCGTGTTTGGAGGAGCGTCCTCCGATCCCCTCTCTTGTGTGAGCAGACAATGTCTCTCTCTCTCTCTTTCTCTCTCTCTCTCTCTCTCTCTCTCTCGTGTTGCTGTGCGAGCGAGCGGGGCGCGCCGCGTGACAACCCGCCCCATCAACATAATTCACGGCCCAAATCCAGCAGAACCAGTCGGGCTAATTCAGTTCCGGTTCGGTCTCAGGTTACAACTCTAGCGCTCAACACTGCAGTCCATTAAGGCAGAACCACTTGGTAAATGTGGAGGACACTCACTCTGACAGCTTTGGATGCTGCGCTGGTGCCGCCGTTAAACAAACAAAACTACATTCCACTATAATCGATTATGGCGTACTCCTCTACGATGCAGAATCGTTTATGTCCGCATCCCGATGCATCGATTATTTGATTATTTTCCTCAGCTCTACTGATTAGATGTTTGTCCTCCTGTTGTGAGCTGCTTTGGGTGATGTAACCCCCAGGAGGAACCAGAAATAGATGTTATGATGTTGGAGAACGTCTCCTCAGGAACCATCAGTGTTTGTTTCTACAGAGATGTAGTTTGGAAACAGCAGATTCCCACTCTGCTTATTTAGTTTAGTTTTTTGATCCAGAACCTCCCGAATGTTCTCGACTGGACTGTTGATGTGTGTGACGAGAGATATTCCTCATTCTTCAGCATCTTTATTGTGCGCCAGTAGCTGCAGTCAGACCAATGGAGCGAGAAGATCTGAATATTCTTTTTATCACTTGGTGTTTGACAGTTAACTTTATTGATGTTAAACTAAGTCAATGACACGTTTCTGATGCTTCACTTTAACCTTTAGTTTTTTTTTTTACTTTGATCAAATTCAGGTTTAATCGGGTTTTTGTTTATAAAACTGAGCTGATTTCAACCTAAAGCTTTTCAGATATTATTGTTACAAATGTAAACAGACTGGAGCAAACAAATCAAATTCAATGTTAAATAAGCTGTCATTACTGAAGTTTAAAGTTCTCCTAAAGCTTATTTAAACCGTTTTAATGATTGACTGAGAATGAGCCTCATTATAGAGCAGACGTGTAGGAACTGAAGTATCTTGTTGATGTTTTTGTTTGTTTTGTGTTTGATGCAGCCTGGCCTGGCCTCTCAGATGCTGACTGCTGCTGAGGAGCGTCCCTGGCTCTGGGTAGTCTACGTCTTCATCGTGGCTCTGCCCGTCATCCTCATCGTCCTTTTCTGCTGCACTGGAAAGGTATTACCTCCAGTTTAACCTGACGTTTTCTGGTTCAGACCCGTCCCTTCTGGCCCAGTACTGGAGGGCTTTTTCTGGACCAATATTAAACTTTGCTGCTGGTTAACTGTGACTGTGAACTGTTCAGAGGTCATCGGGGTCAGCTCAAGGTCCAATGAGTCTCACCAGCTTACAGGAAGAGTTAAAGGAAGCCAGAAGCCCCAACCTGGTGACTGCTGATGCTCCCTTTAGTGTCGGTGGTGGTGGTGTGTAGTTTTGTTGTTGGGACACCATCATGAGTCTAAACTGGTTTCAGTTTGTATTCTGCACAGAACTCTCATACGTGTATGTTAAAGCTAGGTTAAGGTCAGATTCTGGTTAAGATATGAATCAGTTTAGAACAGCCTTTTTATTTATTTATTTATTTTATTTCTCCATCAAATTAAACCAGGACCAGGCTGCTGGTTGTAAAGATCCTCTTGAAACTGGTGCTATTTTGTGTCAACAACACTTTGGCTCATCCCTTGAGTTGGAGCCCTTTCTAAAACATTCTTCTGGCAGATTTTTGACCCATTTTTTTTCTTCTGGCAAAGAAAAACTTTCATGAAGTCAGAACTATGGTTCCAGACCCACTTTAAATGATTACAGGAGTGTCTGGCTGATGGAAAAGAGATGGGGACGGAATCAGGAGTCCTGCATCGGATCAGGAATTCTGAATGAGAATGAATCATTGAGGAGGATTTGGTTTGTCTGTGATTAGAGAAGAGCTAAACCTGACTAGTGCTGGGTTAAGTGAATGAAAATGAGGACATGAAAATGAGGACGAACTAGATATTTTTTTCTTCACTACACAGACTGTAACAGGATTAAACTCTGATGTGTCCTAGTGAACATCTCCCTAGTGTGTGTAAAGCAGGGGTGCTCAACAGCCGCCTCTGGCTCACGAGCCACGTTGTAGACTTCAAACTGTAATGTATGGTGTGAGATTTGTGCCTAAAAGATCAGTCTCCATCCCGCAGCGCTCCTCTGTGAGAGCGGGGGTGGGGGGTTTGCACACGTTCTGCTGCTGTTTCTCACCAGTATCAGCTGATGGAGGGCTCTAGTTTTGTTGCGTCATTCCTGTCAGCGGATACAGTAGGGTCGGGGAGGGGGGCGGGGCATGACTCAGCCTGGCGGGTGGGCAAGCAAAGCCTGGCGGCCCGCCAGGCTTATAAAGCGCTGGGGGAAACCCTGTGGTTATGAGGGTTTGGAGTGAGTGGCTCCAGCTATTTGTCATATGGAAACTTCCCCTGAGACTTACTTTCAAAAGATAAAAATCCTGACCAGAAGCAGAATCGAGGTGCAGCAAAAGCAAAGATCTGTTGGCAGAACCTAAACGTGCCCTTCATAATAAAAGCTTAAAGAGCAAGTCAACCCCTACCAGAGTCTAACTCCACTCTCACTTCCTGTTTGAAAAATGCAACAAATGCTGTCGCCTGGCAGACCGAGAAGGCGGAGCTGCTAACAAATACACACACACACAAGCTCACGACAGCATTGTGACATCATAATGTACCAGTTTACATCATAGCATACCTCTTAGCCAATAGCGGTGGCAGATTTAAATTAAAATACAGTGCAGTTTTTACCTGACAATGGCATAACACTGCCAGTTTTAGGCAGAATATTTAAATTTTAACTAAGATGCACTGAAGTGCCAAATTATTGACGACACGTGTCTGCAGCACGATTAGACACTCGTTTATTTAGTTTATCAGCAAAAAAAAATTATTTGGGGGTGACTTGCTCTTTAAATGGTCTGAGTAATGCAGAATTATGAGAAACAAAAAGGTTTCAGAAAAATTAAATATGAAAAGTTGAGAAATGTAAATGTTTGATTTTGAAGGATTTACCTATGAATTTGTTAATTTTGTTTTTGTGGGGTTTTCTTTTTTTTTTTTTTTTTTTTTGCTTCTGAAATGTTCATTTTGGTTGCCTTGTTCAGGTATATTTTGTGTGAGATTGATTTTTATTTTTTTTTTTGTTGATCTTTTTGGCACAAATCTTATCCCATAGCATTTATTTCACTACATGCATGCTGCCATCTCAAGGTGCTGCGGTATCGTTTATGCAACTCCTCATTAAACGATGAGTCACTGCAGCTGGATCTGTCCTGGGAGCGCTGTAGTTGAGGGCCCCTGTTGTAGAGGTTCAGTTATGCAGGCTGAGCGTGTGTGTGTCATGTATAGTTTATTTAAACTGAGGAAGATTATCTCGATTCATCTGATGTGTTTAATGCCTTTTTTAGATTTCATTTAAAGTTATTTGATCTGAACTTTGTTTTGTTGTTTTACAGAAGAAAAGTTCAGCCTTGCCAGCAGAGTACAAGAAGACTGATGAGCCTCAGCCTGATGTGAAGGAGGAAGAGGAGCAGGAAGAGGAGAATGCCGAGGAAGCGGGGAAGGACGATGCAGGTGAATAAAACACCCGAGCAGTCATGTTTCAGAGGCGTCCTGCAGTTTGTAACAGTTTGGAGCTTTCCCCCAGATGCTGAGGAGAATAACGATGGAGAGAAGGATGCTGAAGAAGAAGAAGTTGGAGAGAAGGCCACAGCAGACGAGGTGAGGAGACGACTCATTGCTATTTCATCTATTTTTTTACTTTTTTATTATTTAGTAGTTCTTATTAGGGCTGCAACAACGAATCGATAAATTCGATGAAAATCGATTACTAAAAGCGTTGGCAACGAATTGCGTCATCGATTCGTTGTGTTGCGCAACTCTTCCAAAAGCCCCCTCCCCTCCCGCCCGCCGTTGCGCGCAGACCGGAGAGCCGGCAGGTGTTTGTAAGAGGAACATGGCAGAAGCAGCGAGACCCCAAAAAAGTAAAAACTTCTAAAGTTTGGGAGCATTTGCAGTTAAATCAGGCGAAGAAATGCAACGTTTGTAGGTCAGACTTAGCATGGCACGGGGATACTACGGTGATGATGCAGCGTCTTAAACGCAAGCATGTCAGAATCATCAGCGAGGAAGGAGAGAGCTCGGTGTCCGGGTAAGTTAAAAACTTTTCAAAAGTGATTCACCCAAGCCCCAGATTATTACACAGGCTAGACATGCCCTAAGCTCGTAAAAAAAGTCTATAAAATTGTAAGCGCGACGCTATTAGGCGGGGGGGGGGGGGGGGGGGGGGACTCGCGCCGCTGCGAACCGGTTCCGCCGTCACATTCCCGCAGAAACTGGTTGATCACACCGGGGCCAGACTACTAACATGTGGCTTTACAACCACAATGTCCTCAGAAGCGAAAACGCTTTTAAAAGGGAGGGAGGAGTCCTAACTGTTGCTGCAGGCGTGTTGTGTGAGAGTGCAGTTATATACTGGTTAATATATTTTTGGGTTCAGTTGCTTTCATGTGGCCTAATGTGAGTCTATTTGGGATCATTGGAATGATCAGCAACATTTCTTGATGTGACTTTATGGCAGTTGCCCAGGGCATCATCGCAAGGAGGATGGCATTCATTTATTTTTGTTTTATTTGGTATTGTTTCAGTCATTTTTGGAAATAGTGATTAATTTTGATTAATTCACAGCCTATGTTTAATTACATTTAAAAATTAGTTGTTTGACATCCCCAATTATAATAAATGTCTACAGATGAGATCAAACAAAACAGATGAGAATTGCCCTTAAAGAGCAAGTCACCCCCAAATAAACTTTTTTTTGCTGATAAACTAAATAAACGAGTGTCTAATCGTGCTGCAGACACGTGTCATCAATAATTTGGCACTTCAGTGCATCTTAGTTAAAATTTAAATATTCTGCCTCAAACTGGCAGTGTTGTGCCATTGTCAGGTAAAAACTCTGCACTGTATTTTAATTTAAATCTGCCACCGCTATTGGCTAAGAAGTATGCTATGATGTAAACTGGTACATTATGATGTCACAATGCTGTCGTGAGCCTGAGTGTGTGTGTATTTGTTAGCGGCTCCGCCCTCTCGGTCTGCCAGGCAACAGCATGTGTTGCATTTTTCAAACATGAAGCGGGAGTGGAGTTAGACTCTGGTAGGGGTTGACTTGCTCTTTAAGCTGTTTAACTTGGACCAAGCATTTTAGGTCACAGATAGGTGTAGCTTAGGGTCTCTTGTCTATACACCTTATAAGACAATTTAGGTGATGGCATGTTGTTTTTCTGCTATTGAACTGTTTTCTAATAATGGTGTGTTTAATAAAGTGAAGGAAGGAGAAAAATAACGTTTCCCTAGCAGTTTTTAAAAATGTCCCTATGTAATCCGATTAATCGATTAATCGTGTCGAGACCCCATCCGATTAATCGATTATCCAAATAATCGTTTGTTGCAGCCCTAGTTCTTATATCTATGGAATGAACCAATTTTCTGTCTGATTTGGTGGTCTTGTGTTTTCCCTTATTTAAAAATCTTACTGTTAACTTTTCTTTTACTCATTTATCAACATGATTTGTTAAATAGATGTATTAATTGAGGTTTTTTGTAGATTATTAAAACTGCTCAGCTTTCTCCAGTAGTTTTTTATTTTTTTGTGCCTTTCTTGGAGCTCTCTGGCTAAGTAGAGTTTTAAAAGGATTCCTAGAGTCTACAGCGAGCCAGTGTAGGAAGCATCAGACAGCAGGAATGTGGGAACCTTCTGGGTCATGTTGGTGGTCTGGCTGCTGCATTTAATAGTCCAGCAAATGGGGTGCTGCAGTCATCTAAATGTGGTGCCACAAAAGCATGAATGATTCTCTAATTTAGATGAACCATGTGATGCTACTTAGAAATGTTTCTCAGATGGAAGAAGCAGGAGGCAGAAGAGGAGTAAGGCTTTCCTAGATGTCCCGAATCCTCTTTATAAATGTAAAATGGTTCATTTTGTCTGAATTTGAATAGTTTAAATCACAACTAAAGGATTGTTTCTTGTTTACGTTAAAATTGGATTGTCAAAAATAGTGAAGATTATTGTCTTTATTTAGAATTCTCAAACCAGGATCTCTTAATTATCAGAACATCTCGTTCTTTATTAAACAGATGTCTCTGTTCTGCTGGTGTGTTTTCATGGTGAGGGGTGGAGTTGGTACGACATCGTGTGTCTTGAGGGTCTGACAGAACTTGGTGCCTAACTCTAAATCACAGATCTGCTGCTGCAGATCTCTTCTCAGTAGTGTATTATATGCATATATTATTGTATAAGAAAACCTGACTGGAGCAAGAGGAGTGAATGAAAGTCTGCATTAGAGTTGAAATCATGTGGCTGAATAACTGATTATCTCACCACAGAGGCTTCATGTAGACAGCCAGCTGCTGAACCTCAGTTGTTAATGTTGGTTTCTTCACTTATTTGTTTTCAAACCAGTGCTCTGGGTGTTTTGTTTTTTTTTAATTCATTTTGAGGATGGAGGCTGTCAGAACTCATTTGGAGTCTTTCATTTTGGAGAATGTATAAACTGCTGCCATGATTGTGTGAGCTGAAGGCTCTCATCTTTTACTCTGTAGAAGTTGGAGGATGACATTCTGCGGAGATCTCCAAGGACCAGGAAGATCAGAAAGGACTGATTTCTCTGATCTGCATTCCTCACCTCCACCCTCTCTCTCTCCCTCCTCCTCTGCTCCGAGGCATGAAGCCTGGATGGAACCAGTGGAATAGCAAAGCCAACGGGAAATTATTCATCACCTCCTCTCCCTTCTCCTCCTGATGATGATTCCAGACAGAACTGGGCTAAGTTAGAGACTGAAAAGGATTTTTTTGTTTTTGCAAGAGATTAACCAAGATTCACTAAAACTTATTTTATCATTCCTGAACAGCAGCTGAGTGGAGGCTCCGCCCAGCCCCAGAAGCCACATCATTCGGCTCAGAAAGTCACCCCTGTAAAAAGCAGACTGCTAACCAGCCTGCAAGTAACAGACTGACAAGCAACTAACTACTAACAGCTCCTAGAGTTAATAAATTAGCTCCCTAGCTGCCTAAATTAAGCCCGAACTTAGCGGTTTGAGAACACTCCAACCTGACTGACCATCGTTTGCTGTGAAGCAGCCTGTAGCTCCTCTGGTTCTGCTGCTTCAGTGGTCAGAAAACATCTCAAACATCTTCTGCATCAGTTACATGCAGCAGAGGTTTGGGAATGACCTGAGCCATGAGCTGGTCGTCTCACTGTTGAGCTCCTCTTGATCACTTCAGAGTAAACACCTGCATCTGCTGCAGATCAGCACATCAAGTCCAGAACATCTGCATCAGATCAGAAATACTAAAACTCATCAGCCAGCCAGAGGGCAAACTCCCAGTTTCTTGCTCCTTGACCCCAGATGGAAAGATAAATGCACTAAGAGGAAACACATAGTGCTTAACACACACCTGTCCACCTGCAGCATCACAGACCTCCGGTCCCAGTCTGCTCTACCTGGGAGATCTTCAGCCCCATGATTCTGAGACATGGCACTTGAAGGCAAAAATTATTTAAAAAAACGTGACTAGCATGGTTTTTCTGAGCTTTCAGCTTCATCCTGAAGTCGTCATGGAGACGATTTGACAAATCCTCTGAAGGCTGAGGGATGCCGCTGAAAGCTCAGATCAGGAGGAGCCACAGTGAGACCACAGGTGTCCCCTGTTGTGGTCACATGACCCCTGTCTGTGTCCCGTTCTTCCTGCTCCTGCCAGTTAATTTATTCTTGAGTTCAGAGATGTTACAGGCTCATTTTCATTTGATAAATGTGGAAATAAAACTGATGTTTAATACAAACCAACAGTTTTGTTGATGTTAAATTAATTTGTTGTAAACAAACAGCTGCGCGGACAGGTATCCTACAGAAACGGTCTGATCAACCTGAAACACTGGAAACTTTAAATTCCTGCTTCTTAGTGTTTAGATGCGAGTAAAAGTCTGATAAAAGCAGAAATAAGAGTTTACCTCTGAGCCAAATGTTGAGAAATCTAAGGTCAAAAAAGTTTCAAAATGAGGACTTTTAATCAGATCTCAGAACAAGTTTATTTTCCCTTCAGGCGTGATCCAAGTTCTAATTACCATTAAACCCTGAAATGCACCTGTGTGTGGGGGTGGGGCTGATCAAAGTTAAGTCTGTGGAAGACTAAACTGAGCTAGAGCTTCTTGGCTCTTCATCACCAAATGTATCAGCTGCACCTTACAGACGGAGCAGCGGCAAAATGATTATGTTTAACAGAATCTTCTTTAGAGTCCAGAAACCTGGTTCTCATGTTTGTTGAACCTTACAGCTCTTTCTTCTTTAAGTGCATCTACTCTTAAAAACCCTGAAGATGAGCTCTGTAGTGATCTTGCACCTCAACTCTGATGTTTATTGTAGCATAGCTGTCTCTTTGATACATGTAAGCAGTTTTTTTGTTTCTGACATGCTTGGTGTTTCCCTCGTGAAACCTTAAACGGAAAAAGTTTTGTTACTGATGTGTTTGGATTTAGCAAATCTGAACACAGAATTGTCCTTTCTTGTTTATTTCTGAGATTATGAGAAGTTAATCAGATTTTTTTCAGCCTTCATTTGCTGATAAACAACAGATGTTTTCCTCATCAGAATCAAATCGGGTTTAAAATTAAAAACTTCACAGGATTTTTATGTTTAGAACTAAGAGCGGCTTCATAGCTGAATCTGATGAACTCTGGGGGAAAAAAACGGAACTGGGTAGTAGCTGCAGCTGTGGTGCCGAGCTGGTGGTTTTAGGGGGCGGGGCATAGCCCAACAGGTACAATAAGCTAACTTTAGTCTGAGATTTGGTGTAATGGTCATGCTGATATGAAAAATGCAGTTGAAACATGGGCAGCTTTTCTGACTGGTGGTCTCTTAGCTAGGTTTTAAGGTCAGGTGTGTACGTTGACCTTAAGGGTGACCTTTGTGGCTCATCCCTCAACTTTCTGTCTGGAAGTTGATCACACTGAGCTTCCTTGTCCTCCTGTGGGCTGATGGGTGGGTTTGGTTCTGGTGGCGTCCTGCTGAAGCTTCCACGTACTGTATCTGCTGCTCCGAGGCTTTGTGGTGCTGCAGGGAGGTCCAGCGGTAGATGGAAACACTGTGATGATGGAGCTCGATGTTTGTGTTTGACTGGCAGTAAACGTTTGTTTTGATGAATAAAAAAGTCCAAATGAAACCAAATCTGGAGTTTCCATTCATCACTTTAGATTAAGCAGAAATGGTTTTACATCTTAAAATTGATGCTCATAAAACTGGAGCTTTTATTCTTGCATGACCAACTTGGAGCTGTTTAATTTTGGAAAGCAAACTAAATCTAACAGGATTCTTTCATACCAGATTGAGTGTTATTTTGTTTCATTATACTTTGTGACACATGCATGATTTTAAAGGTAAATCTATAAGGTCACACTCAACCCAAAAACATGAACCTTGTGAGTTAATGTAGCCACATTTTTAGTTTTTCTCAAGTGAAATATTAAAAACAGTTTGTATACATCACACTTAATTTTTGGATTTTGTTGAACTTTTTCTAGTGGAAATCCAAATTAAACTGACCAAATCCCTGTGCTGAACCAGATTTCCAGAAAACCAACAGAACAAATTATGTTTTTCAATAACCAATTGTTTACCCTGAATAACACTGAGTTACTCTTTATGTCTCTAAGGATTTGTGGGTGGTTCATACTTTTTAAGGACATGGACATAAGAACATATTAAGAGATTAAATAAATGGTAAATGGCTTGTATTTGATATAGAGCCTTCTGTGGGTTTGGAACCCCCAAAGGTACTTTAACTCGGTCGATTCATTCACACCCTGGTGGTGATGAGCTACATTGTAGCCACAGCTGCCCTGGGACAGGACCTGCTGAGAATAAATGTGAACTGAAAATAGACTTTTGATTATCCACCAAAAGAAATAAGACCTGCAAACGATGAAAATTCCATAAAATGAATAAAAACCTTGTTGAGACTTGAACAGTTGGTGAAACAAGAAAATGTTAGAATTTGATAAATTAAAGGTTGTAAACTGAAAATTAATGAGTCCTCATTATATTTAATAACTAAAATTATAATTTCTCATTTGTCACAAGTGTCTAAAACAAAAAAATCTGCCAGACTAAAGTTGTATATTCTAGTGTGTTTTCACTTTTCTTGTGTATGGCTTTATAAATAAACTTAGTGGAATGATTAAAGAAATATGGACTTTTAAGAGTTTACCTATTAGCAATATCACACTGGCTGTATAACACGTTCGTATATTTAAAACGCTGTAATACTTCCTTTGTATAATATTTTGTTTTACAGTAATATTTATATTACTAAACCTGTCAGTTTGGGAGTGCATTATTACTACAACGGGAAAGGACCCAGCCTCCTATTGGCCTTATTTGCTGCCAATCAAATAAAGCCTGTTTTCTATTGGCTGTTGTTTGTATCAATCATCTTTAAGGCGGGTGATGGACCGTCCAGTCGCTTATGGAAGAATGGTGAATATCCCCTTTGCTATTGGTTGATTTCGCTGTTAATCGTCTAGTTTATTTTTCATTGGTTGTTGTAGCTGTCAATCACAAGAAAGGCGGGAGCCAGAATGGAAGAAAATAGAAAGTTTCCAAGATGGCGGTGAAGACCTGGCTGTGAGCTGGAAAACAAAAGAAGCAGCGTAGAGGGACACAGCTAGCCCGGTGTGACTCGCCCTGAACACACACATCCCTATCCGGGCTCGGCTAGGGGGAGGCTTATCCGTGGAAGTTACTGTATTTGTTTAGGCATGAAGATATAAAATATTCCAGGGGTAGCCACGGTTAGCCATTCGAACCCAAACAGCTCCAAGGAGGCGGAGAACCCACTGCTCACCGGACAGATGCTTTAGAAAACCCGGACAGGGACACTCTCCCGGTAAGCAATTTGTAACGCTGACTCAGAAGTTACAGATGTTATCATACTAGTTGTTTTCAGGCGTAGACTTTAATCAACTGATGAGAAGATCATTTAAAAGTTGTTAGCTAGTTAGCTCCTGTTCGCTAACCAAGCTAACTCTCAACACAGCTGAATAAAAGTTTTAAGTAAGTTGGAGAGCCGTTATGTTTTTCACAACGAGTGAACAGTTTATTTAAACTCACAAACTTAAACAAAGCAGATACTTATTCCTTCTGTTTGTCTGTTAAGATTTTTTTCTGATGAAGCTTTTACGGAGTTTTATTTTGAGTGGAGGAATGTGCTAATTCCATCGAGCTGACGAGAGTTTGGTAGCGACGCCGTTTGCTGTGTAACAAACATATTGTTTTGAAACGTTTAAGTTGAATATTTAAGCTAGAGTTTTACTGAGTTTGGCTCCAGTAGCTCCGTGGTACACAGCCAGTTAAATGAGCTGATGTATAGAAGCAAGTTCAGAAAATGAAATCTGGATGGCATTTTACCCCCAAATCTTACTTTTCCTCCCCGGCAGTGAGTGACTGAAGGCCGTTAGAGACAAAGGTCGCCACCATGGAGCCAGCACAGGAGTCTTTGTAAAGGGCCAGGGGGGTGTATAAGCGCCTAGAGCGAGAAAGAGCCAAATTCAGCATTTTATGGACGAAACCTGAGCTGGGAGTTTACAACAAGTCTTTATTGATGATGGCGGATTTTGTTACACCGCGACACAGCGCGGTGATGGAGCGGCTCCGTCGGAGGATCGAGCTCTTCCGGCAGCATCACAACAGGTGCGAAACCCGCTACGACAACGCAACGCATGAGCGGATGGACCTGGAGAGGCAGCAGACCCTCAGCCTTCACCAGCGCTTACTGCAGACCAAAGCCAAGAGGGCCAGCAAGCACCGACAACCCCAGCCGAGCGGCGACCAGGCCAGCCAGAGAGCACCGGGCGCCGGTGGTGGTGGCTCAGAGCCCGGGGAGGGCGGAGGAACGGCGGCGGAGCAAAGCCGGAACTCCACCTTAATAGCGGTGAGTTCATGACACATAAACACCTCCCCAGCCACCATAGGGTCATGAAAGGTCACGGTTTTTTTCCCTCCTGGAAAACTGTCTAGTTTAGCTTCATATTGGTCCTCCAAAGTTTCAAACAAATAACTTTTGCTGCCTCTTGGCCAGGACTCCCTTGAAAATTAGGTTTTTAATGGTTAAATAAAGAATAAATAAAAATAAAGTTTTGATTTCAAAATTTATGATGAAATAAATGCAGTAAACAGATATTTCCTGTTAAGATAAATGTTTAAAATCTGTTTAGGTTCGTCTTCAGTTTTACCTGTGTGTTATGTTAGCCTACTACACACCGGACGCATCAACATTCTTTTGGGTTTAATGGCGGACTGCATAAAATCAGGATTTTACGATCCTGTGAGTGGAGCGGGGAGCACAGTGGAGAAGCTGCTTCATGCCTGAGACCCTCCCGGTGTGCACTGGAGTGCAGCAATTGTCCTGAGTAAACCTTTCCACTGCCATTCCTCGCTGTTGATGCTTCCAGTGTGCAGAAGGGGTAATTCTCCTTCCCTTATTCTTGTAGGTCCCCTAAACGAAGAAAACATAATAATTTAAGTGAATAAGGCTATAAAAGTTATTTTCTGGTTTACTTTGTCTTATGCCCTGAATCACACTTATGTTGTACTTCAATTTAATTGAATTGCAAAAAGTTGTTTGGACTGTCTCACAGCATTTTAGATTTATTTGCTTGTTCAAAATTACTACTTAAAAAGACTCAAAATCAAAAGTCGCAAGTAGTTGCTTTCTTGGCGTCAAAAAGCGTCTTTAAAATTCACTGACATCATATTTGAAATCCTTGGCACCTATCAAACAAGATCAGAAAAGTACTCCCATTCATGTTTTTGGCAGTAGGGTACCCATTGACTGGAAGTAGATGGGCATGACTTGGCCTCCCTATGACTGGACTACCGTCAGCCCATGGCTGTTCAGAGGATTCCTTCTGCTCCTTGCACTGGCTTTCTTTTACTGCCTGGGTTGTGATTTTGACACCCACTCAGGCCTCAATTTCAAATCCATATGACAAGCTAGCTAGCATAGCTACCAACCTCAGACATAAAGCATATCTTCACAAGGTCTTGGCAGTCTATCCACAGGCCAGGAAAGTATTTTGTTCATGTGCAGAGTTTACTCCTGATGCTGTGAAATGGTTTGCATTTCTGAAATTGTATAAGGTGTAAACTGAATCTAATTGGTCTTCAAACATTCACATCAAGGATTTTTGATCAGTGATCTATCTTTTATTTAGATATGTTGATGTGTAACAGAAAAATGTTGATGGTTCTCTCAAGTCTCTTCCATCTACAGATTCTCTGTTGGGTAGTATTATGTAGGTCTGGTTTTTATCAGAACAGTTGTCCAAAGACATAACTCTGCTTACTGGGGATGACAGAGCAGCGTCTTTTTGCAACGGTCAATCTATGTCAGGGATTAAAGTTTTCCGTCGTGGCGACCGTCAGTTGGAATAATCTGAAAAAATGTTCTGTCAAAATCTCTTGGGTTTAGTAGTGTCTCTCTCTTTCTCGCTGGCTCTCTCTCTCTCTCCTGTTGCTAATTGAAACGCACACCGGTGTTGTTGAAACGCTTTTCTCCACCGTTCTGCACCGCCCAAGCAGCAAAAACGTGTGCGCTCATTGCTCGCTCCCATGGTGCGCACAAACACAAACTGCACGCGCACCAGGCGCTGGGATTCTGACAGAGCCAATAAAGCTCTGAAATCACACTGAGAGTTAACGTGATGAGCAGAACCAGGATCCAAATTCTCGGTGGGCGGATCTGAGGTCGGTGTTTTTAGTCGTCTGTTTTTTTTCGGGCTGGTGTTCAGTCATGACACTTTGCTGATCACCTGCTGATGAGAGTATTTCTCCTGTCAGTGGAACAGGTGAGCTGCTGAACTAGCGTTAGTTCCTAGGAACACTTTCTATGCCCAGACTGTAGTGACCTGTTATTTCTAATTTAATAATTGATATTAAGTGAATGCACTAAACCCACAAATGATAGAATATGAGATTAAGTATTATTAATCATATTACTGTCACATATAAATAAGTATAACAGATAACTAATCTTAATGAAAAAAATATATTAATTACTTTTATTTTAATATTGATTATATTTTATTTTTTGGATGTCTGTGAACATTACAGAATATTCAGATTGGTGTAAAGAACATGATATTATTAATAACAGGTCATGATCTAAAGCTGGTCTGAGGTATAAAACTCTGCCCTGGGCCTAAAGCCCTGCAGGTATGTTTAGTTTCTATAAACACCAGCAACAAATAAACAACATTTTGTTCCTTAAATTGAGTCACGTAGTTTTGCAAGTTCTGCAGCTCACATGTTCAACATGGAGCTCTGCCAGCTGATTGGTTGTTTTGGTATCTAGTGCAGTTCTGGTGCTGACCAGCATGGATGCATCAGTAGATTTCACTGTAGTCTGTGTTCATAATGGATTAAGAAAGGACAGGAAAACATTGTTAACTCAAATATATCATTATAATGAACATGTATAGATGCTTTATCATACACACCTACCAGCCTGTAACTCTACTTTCCCCCCCAAAATGCACCAGACTGATGCGTTTAAATATTAAAATGTCCAATAATTTTTTTCCGGGGGGTGGGGGGTCTCCCCGACTCCCCTAGAGTACTTTAATACTTATCATCTTTTTCAGCCGTACTATCTGAACTGCCTGGTGGACATTTATCCTTCTCATCATCCTTTATATAAGCCTAATAAAAGCCTACATAACTGCAGAGACAATATATCTGTCCAGATCGCTCCAAAATATGAAGTTTACCATCAATATCTGTCTAATTGTTTGTTGTTACTCCGTTCGCGCCACTCCTTTCCCAGCGAAGCGGCTTCTTTTTGTGCACATCTGGTTACTCGTGCAGCCTTCCTCTCTCTCTCAGCTACATAATGATACTTTTTGTCAATCGAATATGTGAGACTTCCAACAACAGCAAAAGGGTCTCATGTTTTTGTGGGTTTTTAATGTTCACAAGCACCTTCCCCCTCACGGATTACTAAACTGCTGTTTTGACAAGTTATCAGATTGTCTAAAAAAAGGTCATTTTTTTTAGTTTTGTATAACTCCACTTTTATGTTGCCTATTAACAAAATTTAAAAACTGGGGTGTAGTTTATAATCTCCTTTTTAAAGCTGAATTGAAACCGAAACTCAGGGAGGCAGAGTCTTGCTGCTACAGCGTCCCAAATCAGACCTGATCTAAAGACGCAGATATGCGTCCATGGACCCCAGAGGGTTAATAAAACACAATTCAAATCACACTGTTTTCTTAGGCCTATTAATAACACACGTATGATTTTGTTCATGTGGAAAGTTTGTGGTTAAATCCACCAACTACCAGTAAACACATTCTGAACTTCAACACAGCGCATCAGCGCTTGAAGCGGCACTGCGGGCAGCTGCGACCCAAAAAGTACCAGAACCGCTCACGGCGCATGCGCAATCATGCATCAACACTGCTCGCCCGCTATTTCCCTAATAACACAAGCTGTTCGTTTTTTTTTCTACACGTTTTTTAACTCACAAAGATTGTCAAGAAAGCGTGCTTGTCGTGTTCATGTCAAATTAAACTGATCACAAAACAAAGATTTACTTTCTTTATTTCGTTTTCCTCATCCAACCCCCATAAATCCCTGTGTGTCCTCCTGCAGCACTCCCGGTGTACGCCCGGCTTTAGTAGGAGGGAGACCCGTGATTATCGCTTTGTCGCGCATGTCTCATTGAAAATGAATGGAGGGGAGGCGAAGTTGCCTCCCGTGTGTCGAGCCCATTAGAAGAGCACGAGCCATCAGCTCACGCAATGAGGAAGTGCACGTGCGCTCTAAACCAGGTCTGAACCAGGACTAGACCAGAAAAGTGAAGCATGCTTTTGGCTGTTTATAATTTTCACAATGTCTGGTTTGCACTGATATGTTCCGAGTCCCGAGCCCACACAGATGTTTTACCGGTACGTTTTACCATAGCCCGGTGCGCCTTTTTTATGTATTAAATACCAAAAAGACACCGGTAACTGAAGCTGTGCCCTATGGTCGTGAAAATATGGTAAAAGCAAAAGTGGCAACTGAGATTTTTATTTTATTATTTATTTTATTTATTTCAGTTTAGCCTGGCCTCTATTAGTTCCAGTTCTAAGTCCAGTTCACTTATGGTAAGGTTTAGCACACCTAAATGAGGCTCATTGAGAGCAGTATTTACAAAAGTTAGCCAGCTTATGAATGTTAGCTTACATCGTCCCTGATACTGCCAGAAATCATCCCGCTGGATTTATAACATTATGTGATAAACAGCATTTCACTTGAAACTTGAGCAGATTTAATAAAAACTAAATAAAGCCTGGACCCAGGTTTTGTTGCTGGTGGGGTCAGCAGGTTCAGATACTACTCTCGCACCGGGGTGAGACAAGAAATCTCATAAATAACTGGAAATTAATAATTACCTTTGAATTCACTATAGTGGACTAGTGATGCACATTTTCCAAAATCTCTTTAAATTGTTATTGACGCCCCTCAACAGTTACTAGCCGGTTAACCGGAAACCAATATTTCACCAATTGCTGGTTAACTATGTACATTTCTAAAGTGGATGGTAAAGCACATACTCCATGGTGAATTGTAGGATAATCAGTACTAAATAAGTAGTATGAACACATCACATTTATCATTTCAGGTCTATCACAGTCAGTCCATCTTCATTATGAAATATATAAACATTAGTGTTACCCAGTGATCACTGCAAATCCGCTGCGGTTTATTCCAGTTTTCAGTCGCCACCAGTTATTCAAAATAAGAAGTTGAGTTCACATCTTGTCTGTTAGTGCAGCTAACTGTGCAGTAAATTATTACCATTCTACTAATATCCACTAAATAAAAAAATTAAAGGCTTGTTTTGACTAGCTTCACAGGAGTTTCATCATGTGTAAACAGTCTTCCTGC